TACCGGTCAACTGGCCTTGGTGAACTCTCATTAGATAAGTCACCTTGTATCAGTGGGTGATCGCTCCCCTTGTGGTTCTGATTTCCTTTTTCATGTTCTTCCTCCTTCTGCTCCTCCTTTGGACCTTGGGGGGCTCAGTCCGGTGCTCCAATGTGGGTCTCCGTCTGCATCGCCATCCATCGCTGGATGAAGGTTCCCTCTGATCTTGCCCTCCCTGCTCACGTTCTTTTTCCTTCTGCTTCTCGGTTGGACCTAGGGAGTTAAGTCCAGTGTTCCAACGTGGGTCCCCGTCTCTATCTCCATCTATTGCCAGATGAAGGATCTATGCCGGTTCTGGTGGCAAACAGGTTTTAAACCACAGCAAGCTTTAGACATCATAGTCAGCTCATCTCAGCAGGGTCTGTTTGTCCAAAGTCTCTGGAGGCAGAATGGCACCTTACAGTGTAGAGTGGCAGCAACTGCAGGTCCAAATCAGGCGCTCCTCTCTGTGAGGGCTGGGAAAGCTGGATCACTGGTTCCTCCTCGAGATCTTCGTATTCCATTTCTCCTGCTGGGTGGTTATCAGCTATGCTGTCCTCAGGTCTGCTGTTCTTTTGCTTTCTCCTTTCTATATTTACAAATTTTACTCCTAATATTACTGTCTCATTTTGTTGTCTCTTAGCAGACTGAGAATTATTATAAGTAGGCACTGCTGTTGACAGAAGTTTTCTATTCTGCCCATTCCTACAGTCATTCAGTTCCAAAGAAATATACAGAGTTCTCCATTAATCATAAATTGATTGGCCTAATAGCTCAGGCTTCTTATTAGCTCTTACATACTAGATCTTAACCCATAATTCTTTTCAATGTTAGCCACGTTGCTCAGTACCTTTCAGTGAGGTGTTCTCATCTTGCTTTCTCTGCATCTGGGTGACACCTGCTGACAGAGCTTTCCTCTTCCCAAAATTCTCCTGTTCCCTTTGTCCTGCCTCTATTTCCTGTCTGGTTGCCTTACCTATACTTCCTACCTGGCTACTGGCCAATCAGCATTTTATTAAACAAGTATAAGAAACAAATATTTACAGGATAAAACCATTGTCCCACAGCATACTGCTGTATTACTATATAATTATTATGAGAAAGCAAATTTTTCTCTTTTTTCTTATAAAGGTATAGTGAAGAAAAACCTTTTAAGTCAATAACTTAAGAGGCCATCCTTTAGGCAATACAGAAGGTAAAGAAATTCTAGACTGTAGAGAGCCCATCAGATGAATCACCTTATTAACAGTTCTTAGATCTTTTACCATTCTCTGTAACATGATGGCCAGCTTGTGGGGGTTTCTGTCCCACCTGGTATCCCACAGCCTGCAAGCCCAAAAGAAAATCACACAGAGGACTGCATAAGATTTTAAACTGATTGACCCATTAGCTCAGGCTACTTATTAGCTCTTATAACTTATATTAGTCCATTATTTTTATCTATGTTAGTCACACGGCTCAGTACCTTTGTCAGTGGGACAGCTTGCATCTTGCCTCTCTGGTGCTCTGGGCAGAACTGGGAGGAATGGGCTTCCTCCTTCCTAGCATTCTCATGTTCTCATCACCCTACCTCTGCTTCTTGTCTGGTTGACCCACCTATACATCCTGCCTGGCCATCAGCGTTGACTTAAACCATGATTGACTGAATACAGACAATTCTCCCGCACCACTTTGTTCTCTCTCTCTCTCTCTCTCTCTCTCTCTCTCTCTCTCTCTCTCTCTTTTTTTTAAAAGGGAAAATACCCACAGACCATTTTCTGGGAGCCCGGGCGTAGTATTCTGGGCTACTTCCTACTGGTTGGGGGCTGATAATCTTATGGGGTCCTGGTGTGGGAGAATTGTCTGTATTCTGTCAATCACGTATTTTAATAAAACGCTGATTGGCCAGGCAGGAAGTATAGGCGGGTCAACCAGACAGAAAGTAGAGGTGGGACGATGAGAACAGGAATATTCTGGAAAGCAGGAAGCTCCCTCTGCCACTCCTGCACAGACCACCAAAGAGACAGGATGTAAACTGCCCAGCTGAGAAAGGTACTGAGCCCTGTGGCTAACGTAGATAAGGATAATGGGGTAACAAAAGTTGTAAGAGCTAACAAGTAGCCTGACCTAATGGGCCAATCAGTTTTATAACTTATAGAGATCTCTGTGTGATTGATTTTCTCTGGGACTTGCCAACTGTGGGGTACTGGGTGGGACGGAAATCCCATCAAGCCGGCCCCTCATATTACAGAGTCCTAAAGAGAATTTAGAGTAATAATCAAGTCCTGACGAGTATCCTGTGAGTCTTGATCATCTTAGGCAGCAGTCTTGAATCCGTTCTGGATGTAGAACTCAGACATCTGGGCCATCTGTTCCTACCAGAGATTTCTCAGGTGGTCTTCCTTGATCAAACTAGATTTTTCTTAACTCAAAATGAATCCACAGCCTCTCATTTTCTGTGAAAACAAAAACAAAAACCTTTTGACTTCTAATTTGAAGTCAAGGTATTTTAAAAATACCTATCTTTGATTAATTCAACAGCATTTATAAACAAATATCTTTTAGCAGCTGTTGCTCCTTCCTCCGTATTCAAACAATTAAAAGAGAGCATAATAGGATACAGTATCAAGATTCTCTGTGTATTTTCCATCTTTGTGCAGCTTTATTTTAACTTCTCTTTCTTTTATTTTTACTTTTACTTTATGAGACAGGTTCTCTGTATATCTTTGTCCTGGAATAACTCTGTAGACCAGGCTGTCCTTGAACTTACAGAGATCCATCCCTCTCTGCCTCCCAGTCATTGGGATTTAAGGTGTGCGTTACCAGACATTGACATAACAGAGGTAAGTCTTTCTCTGCCCCTTAAAGTTTCAGAGGTCAATCTACCTCTGCCTCTCAAGTATTGGGATTAAATAATACCACACCCAACTATTCTCTCTCTCTCTCTCTCTCTCTCTCTCTCTCTCTCTCTCTCTCTCTCTTTTCTTTTCTTTTCTTTTTTTTACTTTAAGAACTTTAACCTTTAGCCTGCATATTTTAACATAATATAAACCATTTAGAGGTTTTCTTTGTCTTTCAATCTCTCTTTACTGTATATCATTTTTTTTCTGACCACATGAGTCATTATGGAGAGAATTAAACCATGGTTTTAATGGCTAGATCCAGCCCATTTCTTAGCTTTCCAGTTTCTTGGTGGAGGTACCAGCTGTGGCCATTTTTATTGCCATAACTCTATGGCATTTCAAGATCCTTGCCAGCAAGCAAGCTACATCATTCTGCACACAGACCACATTCAAATGCTCCATCGTCAGACAGCCTGCCTGAAAGAGTCAGAGTTTGCCTTGGCAGGACAGCCCAGAAAGCTGGCATTTTAAAATGGCACAACTTTTTTCCTGCTATGGCTGAAAACTGAAAAGCATGCATTCAGGTTTTCATCAACACCATTTATGTTTTTCGTGGTAGGATCCCTTAAAAGAGCTGCAGGGTTATGCAGCTAAAGCTGAGTCAGGAAGCCTTTCTTAGATGAGAGCACTTGCTTGCCTCTAGCAAGCAGAGCAGACCTGAGAAATTGCTGCTTCTAAGAAAACATGCTTTACTCTATTCTTTTCCAAGCATTCTCAAGTTTTCTGTGGATTCAGTTATCCATATGGGCGCCATTTGTCATGATGAGGCAAGCAGGCCTGCTTTTCCTCTCACCCAACTCCCACAAGGCTAGCTTTACATCCAAAATAACAACACACAAATTGTATTCATTTAAACACTGCCTGGCCTATTAGCTCTAACCTCTTATTGTTTAACTCTCTATTGCAATGGTGTTTCCCATTTTTAATGTGGGAAAAACTTTCCCTTTTAACTAATTCCTCCCTTAAAAATTCCCAGTTTTCTCACCAAATCTGCCACCAGTGATGATGAACATGTAAATCTTATTGCTGCTGTGCAGAACAGTAAAAGCCTCTCTGGATATGAAGGCAGCTACCTTGTTTGGCAGCAGCCTGAGAAGGGGGTTCGGGGAAAGCCCACCAGGAGAGTAGATATAAAAACCTTTCCAGAAGGTGAGTGAATCTGGCCTATGCTGGTGGCTGCCAAGTCACAGGCAAATGGCTTTTTAATGAATTTGTACACCAAAATTTTGGTGTCAGAGATATAGAACAAATAATAAAAACCCAGGGAAAAATATTGGGGTCCAAGCTGCGGATCAGAAAAGCAAAGCAGCCAAGCCACTAGAGAGTACTTACAAAGGCTAGGTGATCCTGTTCTCAGTGTAACTGTAGACTCACAGCAGACTGAGACCTTTAGCTCCTGTCTCCTCCTGTCTTATATTCCTTTCTAGTGTTGGAATTAAAAACATCCACCACCACTGCCCAGCCACTGTGGCTAACTATTGTAGCTGTTGAGATTGAAGGTGTGTGCCACCGTTTCTTGGACTGTATGACTGCGTATTGTGGTTGGCTTTATTTTCTGATCTTTAGGTAAGCTTGACTTATTAAAACACAAATAAAATATCACTACAGATACTACTTCTAAGTCATAGTCTGTCACTGAGGGAGGTCAGGGCAGATACTCAGAGACAGTCCCATGTGCTATTCCACACAGCATTATCTATGACTAAGGATCTCACTTCACAGCCAGAGAGGCACAGCAGGAACCATGGAGGATGCTGCTTGCTGTCTGGATCACTAGCTCCTGCTTAGCTAGATTTCTTATCCAGCCAGAGACCCGCTGCCCAGGGAATGGTAACGCCCACAATGTTTGGCCATTCCTACATCATTAACAGTATAAACAGTCCCTCAATAGACACTGCCTTCTTAGGTTAGTCTAGGCTGGATTGAACCAACAGTTGAGCTAATCAGCAGAGATGTTCAAGACTTAATTTTTCCTTTAGTTCTTCCTCTCTTTCTTTTTTTAAATGACATTATTCAAAGAGACTTTCTTGTTCCACAGGCAAAGACTGTCCCTGAGCCCCTGTTCCATATCCCTAACCTCACTGCATATTTCCTTCACAGATGCTGATTCTCTTTGCTACGGCATCACTATTGGCAAGTCAGGGTCTGGATCATGGTGGCACAATGCCCAATGCCAACTGAATGAAGAGACTTTTCTTTCCTGCAACACTAACAACAACTGCCATCCCGTTGGTGCTCTGGGGAACAGGCTGAATGCCACACAGTTCTGTGAAAAGCAGGTTAATATTCTGAAAGATGGAGCTGACTTGTTCAAAAAAGTAGCACTTCACGTGAATCTGAAGACTCCTGCAATCAGAGGTAAGTTTCAAATAACCCCATAGGAATGGGGATATAGCTCAGTGATAGAGTGATTGCCCAGCATGCGTGATGCCTAGGTTCAATTTCCATTACTACAAACTAAATAAAAGAACATATTAGATGGCTCCCTGAAGGAAAAAAAATCCTGATTTTTGACAGGTTAGGAACATTCATTGTTTTTGTGGATAAAAAAAAATGAATCACTGGTGGTCCCTCCCACCTAAGTGGTCCAGCAGCAAGGCTAACATGTGGAGGGTAGAGCAAGGTCAGGGGATGGGAAGGCAGGATCCTGGGTAGTCAAACAGGATTCATCAAGGGCAGAGGCTGATCTCTTTCCAATGGACACAGATCTGCAGGTCAAGATGTGTTGTTGGTATGAAGTAGATGGACATTTCAATGGATCCTGGGACTTCTACCTCAAAATGTTGCATGCTGACTCAAAAACTGGAGAATGGACAAAAGTTGATCCTGGATCCAGCTGTATGAAAGAGATGTTAGAGGAAAACAAGTATGTACCTAGCTTCTTAAAAATGACCTCACAGGGAGACTGCAGGTCCTGTCTTAAAGAGTTGAAGTTGCACTGGGGAGAAAAGCTGGAGCCTACAGGTAACTGACAAAAAGGGGAAGAAGTTCTTTGCACATGAGACGTGTGTGTGTGTGTGTGTGTGTGTGTGTTTAATAACTTAATCACTATGAGTTCTTGAGTTAATGGCCATTTTTTCCATCATTCCTTTCATTTCTCACCCTCTCCTCCTATCTCATTAAATGTTCTCTACTTTGCTTCTCGCTGGCCATTACAGTCTGAGCATCCTTGTGTTTCCTGTCCTTTCCCCCATTCTAGACTCACTGTTGCTTTTCATCTCACTTGATCTTTCTTCTTCCCTGGCACCATCTTCACAGGTGAGCTCCTCTCTTGCCAGAGGAAAGATGAGGCCCATCATAATCCTGCTAATCTTGCTTCCCCTACCATAGTTCCATGAGTCTTTGAGCTCAGGGGACATTATCCCCTCCCTTTCTAATCAGGAGCCACCTAAACCATTATTGAACAGTCATAGGGATAAAATTCTGTGTGTTGCTGAATTGCCTGAGCACAAAGAAGCTAAAGTTTTGAGATCTGGTTAAAGACTCCACTGTGCTTCCACTTCAGCCTTGACAACTGCTGTTCCAGATGTGGTTCAGCCTTCGTCCATGGCCATCAAGCATAACATCTCTGTCCTGCTGGTAATTCTCATGTGCTTGCTCCTGAATCTTCTCTAAGAAGACTTACATTGACAGGTACTGAGGGCAGTGTTGGGAGTGGGGTAAGAAACAGGTGGGTGAGGAGTAAGGAAGAAGCCATTACTGAGGGCCTGCTCATGTCCCTCAACTGTAGCATCTTATTGAGAAAAGAAGCAAGAGATCTGGTCACCTGCTAGTAATAACTTGTGCATGCTCAGTCTTCACAGGACAGGAATCATGTCACAGACCAGTTGTGAATGAGGAGGAAACACAGCAAAGTGTCTGATCAGAGCAGGTTCCAAATCAGGAGGGTTCCATGATGCAGATGTTCACACAGCAGGAACACTGAAGAACATGCTAGTTCCACTTAGGGTGTGGAGGGAAGAGCATTCCATTCTATAGACAAAGATAAAGAAGATATAAAGAAAGAGATGGCACAGTGGCAAAAAAACACTTGCTACTCATACATCAGACCGGAGTTCTATTCACAGAACCCACAAGGTAGTTCATGACTATACAACTCTAGGTCCAGGAGAACCTACCCTTTCTTCTTCTTCACAGATCCTAGGTATTCACACAGTGTACATATAGACATGCAGGCTCACATTCAAACATACTAAATAGAACTGAATCAAGCAGCAGCAGTAGCCTCCAGAAGCCCTGGGGCAGTGTCCCCACTGGAGACAGGAGAAACTGAGCTGCTGCTGGGGTTGACCTCTTCAATCTAGGCTGTGCAGATAAACAAGGAGCAGGGACAGTCACATCCATACCTGTATGTGTCATGTGTCATGCCAAGGTTGAGAAATTATTGAGAAGAAGGCTGAATAGAGCTCCTCCCTACTCCTCTAGCCCCTCCCATCAGCCCCTAAATCAGGAAGCAGAGCTGGTCATCACCACTTTATTCTGAACTCCCCGGTCTGCAGCAGGGACTGGGGCTCTGGGAAATGGGAAAGAAAGAGGAAGACAGTAGGGGATCCAGGATGGAGAGCCCAGGGGTGATGGAGGAGGGAACTAAATGACCCTTAGTGAGGATGGCTGTGGGTGATGATGACTGGTACAGGGCACCCAGGAGAACTGACCCAGGCTCTCCTCAGACCCTTCAAAAGGCGTGTTTCCTTTCTACAGGTTGAAGATGCTCCAGAGAAGTCATAAGGGTTCGTCTGGTTCAGACACTCACCCTTTCCATCAGTCTCCACCTGATGAATCAGGATGCTGTGGACACAGCATTTCATGGTGTTTCACTCTGTGCAGTCACTTAGGTCCTTTCTTATCACCTTGTACTGTTTCCATGGTGCTCCCTGGTGGGATTTGCCGTTAACATGGAACTACTTAAACTAGAGATCTGGAAAAGACTGTGGTTATGTACCCATTCCTAGCATAGGAAACAGGGTAACCAGATCTCCTTAGTGGAGTATCCTGTGTATCATATCAGTATTTAAGTCAGACAAACTAGGAAGACCCCTCCCTCTCTAAGGTATTTGGTTGGGAGTTAAATTCTGTTACCAATATTGATTTTGTAATAGATATTTATTATAACCAAACCTGTACTATACAGCCTTTAATAGAACAAAATAAGAAATGTATCTGTTATTTTTATATAAGGATATATGATACAAAGGAATACTTCACAAATGAATAGAAAATATTTTAAGATATTATTACTTTTATATGTTAGTTTCTGTAACATGCACTAGGTCCAGCAATGGGCACATGCACACTGGGGATAGAGAACCTGGAAGCTGCTCAGTCCTACAGGCTGGCTGTCCCTGCAGTGACAATCTGACAGTGAAAGGCAGAAGATCCTGAGAGACGGTGCTGCTGGATTCACATCCTCCTGGTGCAGATCTGGGTCAGCGCTGCTCTCCACTGTGCTAAGAGAAGTTCTTCTGCACATCCAGACCTGGGATGGAAGGAATGTGAACTCACACTAGTCTCCTCTGACTGCACAGGGGCACTTTGCACAAATGCACTAGCACTCACACACACATGACACACACAGTGACAACATAAGTACCCTAAAGTGTGGAGAATTCACTGTTGAAAATGATATTTCTTTGAGGTAGGAACTAACTACATAGCACAACATGGAATGAAACTCATTCTGTAGACCAGGTTGTCCTGGAACTCAGAGATCCATTTGTCCCTACATCCCCAGCATTGTGCTTAAAGGTATGTGCACCACACCCGACTGATTCTTGGATTTTGACCTCTTATGGGATGCTACTGAAGTATTAATAATGTAAGATGTACTATTTCTCCCTAATTAATTTGTTAACTATAGAGGCATTAAGTAGACTGGCCATATTCAGATATCTCAGGCATCACTAAAAGAAACCTGTAACAACTAATCCTAGGAAAGAGAAATTTAGGACCAGTTGTTTATTAGAAGTCACTGGTAATGTCTGTTCTTTATTTTCACTACTGGAAGCCATCTGATTGCTGACTTGGCATCTTTAAAATGCCATCTTTCTGCTCAGATGTTTATGAACTTTCTTCTTGTGATTGCTTTACAGATGTTCATGTTTCTACAAATGTGTGCATGGCTGCATTGTTGTCTGGGTTTCTGTCCTGCCCAATTCCCGCAATTGTTAAGTCCCAAAGAAATCACCCTGAGGTCTATATTTGTTATAAACTGATTGGCCTATTAGCTCAGGCTTCTTATTAACTTTTATAACTTATATAGCCCATTATTAGTCCATTATTCTTATCTGTGTTAGATATGTGGCTCAGTGCCTTATTCAGTGGGGCATTCACATCTTGCTTCTTCTGTGATCGGGTCAGGACTACAGAGGAATGGGCTTCCTTCTTCCCAGAATTCTCATTGACCCCCCTATACTTCCTGCCTGGTTACTGGCCAATCAGTGTTTATTTAAAATATAATTGACAGAATACAAACCATTCTCCCACACCACTTTTCCTTCTTTCTTTATTTTTTTTTTAAAAGGAAAATATCCATAGTCTATTTTTTGAGAATGTGAGCATAGTTTTCTAGGCTACTTCCTGCTGACTGAGGGCACTGATAATCTTATGGGGACCTAAAAAAATTTAGAATTATGATCAAGTCCTGCCTGGAGTATCCTGTGAGGCTTGATCATCTCAGGCAATATCTTGAATTTGTTCTGGATGTAGAACTCTGACATCTGGGTGATTTCTCAGGTGATCTTTATTGATCAAACCTGATTTTTCTTAACTCAGAATGAATCCACAGCCTCTCATTTCCTGTGGAAACAAAAGCAAATCCTCTTCTCCAAAGTAGCATACCTTTTGACTTCAATTTTGAAGTCAAGATATTTTAAAAATATCTATCTTGGATTAATTCAGCAACATTTATAAACAAATATCTTTTAGCATCTGTTGCCCCTTCCTCAGTATTCAAACAATTCAGAAAGAACATAATAACATACAGTATCCAGAGTCTCTGTGTATTTTTCATCTATACGTGGCTTTATTTTAACCTCTATTTCTTTTGCATGATTTTACCTAAAATTTTTCAAAGAATCGTCTTGTTGATAATTTATTTTATTTCTCAAGCTTTGTGACAATGTATATTTCATTTGTGGTAAAGTAATTGTAATATTCTCTTTGTTCTTTGTCAATCTATAAAAGGCTTGTCAAAATCAGTATATACTTTTTTGGGGTTTTAAAGGGTGGTTGAGTGTATTGATATTTTGTTTAACAAATAAAGCATGCCTGAAGATCAGAGTGCAGAACTAAGCCACTAGAGGTCAAGGAATATTGGCACACACCTTTAATCCCAGGAGATGAAAGACAGAGGCAGAGGGATCTCTGCTGTAGGAAAATCCTACAGCCCATAGCCTTCAAGCTACCTGCCCACTGGAGAGTGAACTCTTATACTATGTATGCCAATGTAAAGCTTGCAGTGCTGTCTTTTCCAGCTCGGGATTCGGTTTCTATTCTCCATTCCAGCTGACAATTCTGGTTTGTGAGAGTAATCCTAAATAAATAACTGTCTATTATTCTCAATTCTGAGCAAGTGTGGGATTTCTTTTAAGCATCCTTCTTCAGATCTCTGTTAGTTCAAGGCCACCCTTGGCTACACGAGATTGAATCTGTCTAAAAGAGAAATAGGGCTCCCACAAAGTTGACCCCAGAACTTGGGATCACAGGCCTTTAATCCCAGCTCTAGGGAAGTAGAGTAAAGAGTGACATGGCTGAGTAGTGAAAGAAATAGAAGGCGGGAGGAGATAGGAGCTCAGTATAGTCTGAGGAACAATGCAATCTGGGACAGTCTTAGCACTTTGAGGATGCAACCTGAGGACAGGATCGCCCCTTTGGTCTGAGCATTGGTAGAGGTAAGAACTCTCTAGTGGCTGGTCACTTTGCTTCTCTGATCTTCAGCATTAACCTCTGTATCTGACTCTATGTTTTTATTATTAATACTAATTAGAATTCATATTACTTCCGGTGTTCAGATGTTTGGGATATGAATTATTGAAGGTGCAGGCCCCTCATATGCCAGAGCTACTGAGAGTCAAAGTCATTCCCCTTCCACCAAGGATTTCTTTTTTTCTTTCCTGATGGACTTTCCCTCAGTCCCTTTCTTGGGCTGCTGCCAAATTAGACAGCTGACATGGAATCCAGTCAAGTTTCAAACTGTTTTGTGAAGCAGCAGTGAACCTTATCTCTTCACCATCAACATTAGCAGATTTGGTGAGAAAACTGGGAATTCTGAAAAGGAGGAATTCGTTAAAAGATAGAGTTTTTCCAACATTAAAATGTTGGAAACACAATTACAATAGTGGCATTAGGTCTCTGTATGATTACACAATGCATGATTTTAAAATGGGATAATTAAATGAAAAGATAATCAACTTAACCGGGACTGACATTCTGTAAATTATCATTTTAATAATCCTTGTTTTTGCTTTAATATCTCATGGTTAATCACTTAAAAGTTGTTTGGGAAAAATAGTTGTTTGGTTTGACGGCCAATATATAGGCCTTAGAAAAACTTAATAAAACATGTTATAGAAATAATAAAATGCAGATAGAAGAAGTTAATGGAGATCCAGTTTCAGGGTTGCATTATGAGGTTAGAGAGGAACAGCCTAAGGTTTCCAAACAACCAACCGTGATATTATCAGTCACCATACAGGAATTACCAAATGACTGAGGCTCTGTAAGAGCTAATTGGGCTCCTGTTGTTAGATTTAAGGAGATTCGAGGAAGTGATAGTCTCATATGGCATGCATTCACAATTTGTGAAACAGATGTTAAATTCATGGTCATCTTGTGGAGTCTGGCCCATAATTACAATGGAGGACCTGGTGAAAAGAAGAGGCTAATACTATGGAACAACAGAGTAGAGCTGGAGGTATGGAAATTTACCAAGATCAACGTCTTGGAGAAGGAGATTACATTATTATAGAAAGGCAATCTCTACATGATGCTCACACTCTGGCTTTATGCTGTGCAGCAGAATTGAATGCTTGGGACAGAATTGAAGAGGCAAGAAAAAAGTTTGAGTCACTTGTTAAAGTCATAGAAGGCCCAAAAGAAACCTTCACAGATTTCTTATAAAGATTGACATCAGCAGTAAATAAAACGATACCAAATCAGAAGCTAGAGAAATAATAGTTGAATCTCTGATTTTTAAAATACTAATTCTCAATGTAAAGAAAAATTTGGCCTTTAAAGGCAGGGAGTACTAAGTGAGAAAGGATCCCAGACATTCAAGAACAAATTCGAGCCTTAAGAGTGGGAGGAAGGGGAAAGTAGAGTGGAAAAAAACATGGAGCTAGAAGAAACAGTGGCAGAAGAGGGAGAAAGAAGAAGGGAAGAGGAAGCTGGTTGAAGGGGACAGGAAAGGATGTCCTAAAACCTGCAGCAGTCCACCTCATAGTAGAAGTTTTAGAGAGGGAGGAGGGAAAAGGTATATTTTTAATATCACATTGTATTTTTTTTAGTGTAATGATATTGAAAACTTGTTACAAGTTTCAATAAAAGATTGCTTATTTTAGATTTCAGGTTCACACACACAAGAGAATATATGTGTGCATGCCTCACTAGGTCTTGCCTACTTGTTTGTGTAGTATGCTGAACAAAACAGTTGTAGTATACTGTGTCTTCTGTTGCCATTAGTGAAAGTCTAGGAGAACAGGGACCACAAAGTGTTCTGGGAAACAACCGTCTGAGGAAGGGAAGAGAGATTGGGGTTTCAAGCAGGTCACAATAGAGATCTCATCTTGAGAATGAGTTGAGGGTGTAGAGAATCTGGCATCTGATGCCCAACATTGTTGTGTGACGTGGCATAGTGGGTACATGCATGAATACTGTGCTCACAGGTGACAGGTTCCCTTCCCATGCCAATTCACAGGAAAATTCCAGGAAGCTTTTCCTGAATTCCCAGGATCCACATTAAATTTGCCAGGTGTTCTATGATGCCTCCTTTCTCTTTGTGT